CATTAGTACCATGTCAACGTAGCGAAGCTCATCGAAAACATCAAGAACTAGAAATAACTAAAGAATTCAACTAGTGAATTATGTTGTTTGAGGAAAACTCTTTTCCTTTCAAATTGTATTATTGGGATTATTAATGAAGTAAAAAACAAACGTCAATTAAAAAATTATGAAAATGTTTCCAAACAAGTGAATGACAATCGTCTTGGCAAAATTATTGATATATGAATGAGAGAGAATTTGAGAAAATATGGCGCCGAATACAACAAATTGTGAAACTTTTCCTTGAATTGTATTACAGGATTCATGTGATGTGCTTGACATGTAGGAATTGAAATGAGAAACAAACGGTGGATCGCGTCTTTGGCGCTACTTGGACAGTTAATGATCACCATGGAGCTGTGGAGTTTAGAGAATGTGAGGTATGCTATACTTCTGCAAATGAGAAGTGTATTTAAACGTTTTTACGGTTATTGCTATCACTCTGGGTCCAGATTGCATTATAGGGCCCTTCATAACACATTTTCACTTCATTTGGTTCTCTGTGGTTCTCTTTGTTCTAGTTCTACTATTACCCATAAGCGATCATATCCTCCTTATTTGATCTCATTCATGTCACACAATAAGCCCAACTCACACGAGTTGCTTACGGTCATAGAAACAGTTTACATGGGTTTCGCACTTTCAAATATTTTTGGCATGGACCTGAATCAGTCTTGGTAAATAAATTTTTGAGTCCAGGCCCAATAAACTCAATTATATTTCTACCCTCATGATTACATTTTGTTAGTCTTTATACTAACGTCATCTTCCTTTCTCTTATTTGAGTAGTGATCTGGTTATCTGATATAATTCCATTATGGGTAAATTTTATTTTGATAAAGTCTCACAGTGTTATACAGTAATATTTACTGATGACGTTTCGAGCACATTTTATTGCTCATAATCATATCATGTCATACCTTGGTATGATTATGAGCAATAAATTTTGCTCGAAACGGTATCAGTAAATATAACTGTATAACACTGGGAGACTTTATCAAAACAAAATATACTCACATGGAATTACACTCTACCACAGTGCACAAGTTTTATTCTTATATCTGATGTAATATTCTCAAATGTATTGTGCTTGTGGCAGGTTCCTCTAAAGTTTTCACCGTGTTGTGGATTCGTTTCATAAACAACTCGAAATCTCATCGTCTTTTCATTCTTGCAATTATTTGTCTTCAATTTCACAAATCTTCTCGCATCTGTTAGGCTAAATGTCTTTGTAGAAAGTTACTCACTGTCACAGTCTCTTCTTTCTGTCCTAAGAGAGCTGCACAGGTTTCGTTGAACATCATGCTCTACTACATACGGTTTCCGAATTCCTCCTCATAGCTGCAGTGACTGTCGCTATCATAGTTTAGTCCTTTGATTTACAAATACCGACCTTTAACTGTCTTCTTTTCATAGCTTGTTTGAAGGCTACAACTTAATTTTGAAATTTTTTCGCACTAGATAATGGCTTCGGCCACATATGCTGTTTTTATAGATTTCGTGTGTAGGAGGCTATGTCTTCACTTTCTTGAGATCGCGAAGAAGATCACCTGATTTTTGGCTTGTCCGTCAGGTAAAGTCCCTGTTGCTATGTGTTTTTCTTGTGCTTCAATGCGCTACCTGCGATCCTCAGATCATTGTTAACACAGAAGTATGCAAAGACTTCCCTGATCAGATTCGTTTGATGGAAGGTTTCTCAACACATGTTCAGTTCACTTCCAGTATTTTGCACTCCTAGATTGACATTTATAACGCTCATCAAGATTTTGTTGTCACCCATTGCTTATTGCACTTGTCTATAGAAATCTTCTTTTGCACTTGATCTGTGCTGTTTGTGGCCGCGTAGCATTGGATAATTGGTACTTATCTTCTTTTTGAGTGCAGCCTTGCATTATTTTCCTGGGGGAGAGAGTATGTGGTGTTGTTGATGAAAACATGACAGCTACTCTCTAAGTGTGCTTGTGGTTCATCTGGGTGACCAGTACGTATTATTGACTGTCCATTTAATACGTCTGATAGTTCACTTCTTCCTCCTTCGTGAACGGCATCCCGGTCTATGAAACATCTTTTCATTTCTTTTGCAAGCTGGTCAGCCTTAGAAAACTGTGTGGACATTCCATGTCCAAATAGTTATTTTTTTCATTAGTCGAAAGAAAACACTTAGTCTGATTTTCTTCGTTAATTCCTTTACTAGCCTGTGTCATGTAGTCTCTTCGATTTCAACAAAGTGTAACTTCCCTTTTAATATTTCTGCTGTTATTTTATGGCTCTAAAGAGACCTATTTGATGTTCCAGAGCAGAATGGCTTACTCTTTTATTATCCTTAAAAACTGCTCGTAAACGATTCAACCAGTAAATTAGGTGAGGTTTTCAAATATTTCCCTTGTTTCTCGTTTCGTCCAGCTGCCTCCTTATATAATCGATTACATCATTCCATTTATTGAACGCATCTTGTAAGACTAGTATAGTAATCAGGTTCTAGGTTAAGTGAATGTCTCCTGACAGTAATCAGTATCTGCCTCTTCTCAAGCATCGAAGCACTGCGTATAGATATTCATCTTGGATTCACATAAGGAATGTTTCATAAGAATCACATGAAATCCCCAAGATATTTGGAAGGCAAGAAAAAACCAGAATATGGAGAAGGATCTAATCATGTATAAATTTATTCTCGTAGCCCATAGAAACAACTAATTTTGAACATAGATATACGGCTACAGTGATTGAAATCTAAAATGGGCTTCGACACGAAACGTCATTAGGAGTAATAATACACCACAATCGACAAAATCTCTCATATTGTGAATTCTGGTTCAATAACACTTTGATAAAACTATTAATACCATTAAGTGGAGAAACGTCATTAAAACGGTAATGCAGTTTTATCTTTCATCTTTCATTGAAGAATATAAGTCATTTTCTACTAATAGGTCTCCTATGTTTTTTGCACATCATTCGCAATGTTGTTAACAGAGTTCGCTTTTTAATATTTTTGCCTTAATTCGGCCATATTCAACTATAAACGACATTCAGGTTGATCCGTGTTCTACTTGATACTCAGTGTTATTTTGAACGCATTTCAGTAATTGAGAATTTTAATCATGTGGAAATAAGGGCTCTCAAAACATAATGCTGACTTGGTTACCATCTGACCTTGGTGGCCTGCTAAAATCCGGACTGCTTTAGAAAGGTTTTGCTTTGCTGAGAAGAGCACTAAAACCGGTAGTAGGGCGAGTAGGATATCGGTAAACTAACTGGTTAGGACTATTGTGGATAGACATATAATGTCACGTAAGAAATTAGCGAATACTACATTGTCAGAACCTGAGCATCATCTCTATACGCAGCTCTCTCCTTGCATTTTATCTGCTAGAACTAAAAGCAGCTATATGAGGCTATATTCTAGGACTACCAAGTGCAAAACTCCGCAATACCTAAGCTGGCACAGTTGTTTTGTGATGAGAAATCCATTAGGAATGACACGTGCGGCACTCTAACAGTTAGTCCCATTAGTTTCGGTTTTCCTTTCTTTGTTACTACTATATTGTTGTTCACATCTTCTATTGCGCACTAAATTTATATTTCATATCCTGTGGTGCATTGTTTAAAAATGTAGACGCAAAGCTGTTCTTTTTTATCTTTTGATTGTTGCTTTTTGATTTTAAAATCTTAGAAAACTTTTGAGGTAATTAGATGCAATATTGTAATGCATGCTGAAATTTCCATACCTGTAACACAAATACTGTTTGGAATAAAGCTGTTTTTATTATTATTTACATGGCATATAAAATTAGGCCTATAATTCAGTCATTCGCAGACCGTGATATGTCTTCATATCATGGATGACGAATTCACTGTATTCGAATGACGCACAATGTGTCTGAGAATTTCCATTGAATATATTATGTTGTACACTGTGATTAACGAAATAACCTATGGACAATCAACCCACTATTTATCAATCCCAACTTGAGTAGAACTTCACAAGCCATCTTTGCCATTGTATTTTATGGAAATCGGCGTAACAAATAACTTGAAAATGTCAAGTTTATGGGATTTCTTTGTGCGCATGTGTAATTGTTATTCACTGGCAATAAATTACACTTTTCCTGATTGACTCCTCGATACACTTCGTCCGACAAAACAATAATCCTCGAGTTGTGCGCAAGTGGGCAGCCTTTTTGTTCTAATTAGCTACTTCACTCTGAAATATCACATTCTACTAAAAAGACAGAAAATAACAACTGGAACAAGATCTTACGAAAGAAAATATTATATTTAATTAAACAAAAAAGAAATAAGAAAACAATGTATTTACTTCACCAATATTGTTTGAATTCCCTTGGAATTCAATTCACTTCCCTGCAGCTGAAACAAAGTGAAACCAGAAACAGAGTAAAATTGAGTTGAAAATGGACACGTATCTTGTACAGCAGAAATTATCATCGACAGTTTCCATCTAACTGACAATAACACTAATCCTAAGGCAATACTTCCAGTGAATATTGAAACACAGATTAGGTGTGTACATTATCTGGCTGATTCCAAGTTACAATTCCCCTCACAGTAAATTAGCTATGCAAAGTACCATCTGAATTTACGATGTTCTGAACAGATTTTACAACCCTGATATTGGGTGCAGCCTTCGGCTGTGATCATGCGGCTGGTCAGCCAGTAGCTCAGCCATCATGCGCCTGTTCACTGATTAGTAATCAAGAAATTTGAGTGAACAGAAGTTCATTGGTACTTGTTTCTCAAGGATTCATCCAGCTGATTTCAGCTAACCACGAAATCCATCTTCAAGTTCATATCCACTTGTGCAGTAAGTTAGTAATTTAAAACACGCTGAGGATCTAAGTAGCAACTTACTTCAATAAAACTGCTTGGCATCTTCCTTCATTTCAGACAGGAGACAGTTAATTCTGCATTCTGGGGTTTGAACTAGGCAGTTGTAAATCATTTCAATATTTCAACTTACACTTCAAAAATTCAATCCTCTTCATTTCCAATAGTTTTATTTTCTCACCTAGTTCCTCTAATACAGGGAATAGATTGTCAGTGACGCATTGGTACCATTTTTAATGTTATGTTGCAACAATATGAAATAAAGCTTAAATCTCACAATGCTCGATCATGTCATGTAGTCTCCATGTAACTGTTATTCCAAACTTAACAATGTATATCATAAATGTTTTTGGCTTTATTGCATGATACATTGATGAAGTCACTGAAGCTTCATCGGATTAGTTTCGCATGTCCCGGTAATATGAAATTAACTCTATAGAAGGAGTAAATTTAACGCTTTTGTGCATACATATTTTAGACTTAGCTGTCACCTACAGTGTGCAGATTCTAATAATAATATGACAAGTATTACTGCTGATTTTATCAACAATATAGCCTAATTTGGTATAAGTGAATACGATGACTTGATAATATACACATCATTAGTCATACAGGCTACTTTTGTCTCTTACGAAAATGAAATTCACTGAGAGGTGCATTCATCTCTAGAACTATGAAATATAACATGTGATCAAATCAAATAACCATGTAAAATTACTTGTGCCGATGGCAAAATTAATACGAGCCTTCTGATACACCTCCGTAATTTTAGCAGCATGCAATGAATCTGAAAGTCGCATAAGTAATTGAAATTACTGGAGGGAAATACTTCATACAAATGCATTCAATGTGGAATGAGATATGTGTAAGTAATTTGAGTTAGTAAATTTGAGCGCTTTGTATTTTCAATTAGTGAGCAAATTGTTACTTTTACTTATCGTTTGTTTGGTCCATTGTCTTAACCTTCACATGACCTTCAAACTAAAGATCTTCAAGAATGAGTCTCTGTCGATTCAAAATACCATGCATTATTCTGTTCATACTTTACTCGATGTTTGCATGTTGACGATCAAAATTTTAATTATTTGGGGTACCCAGCTAGAAACCTTGATCCAATTATGATGATGTCATTCTCCAGTACACATGAAGTTCTGAAGTTCGTTGTTGTAGTAATGTCATTATTTTCATTCAAATACGAATCGCATGGAGCTTAGTGATGAAAACATTTTGAACTTCGAAGTATTGTAAGCAAGGTAAAGTTGTTTGCTCACCACTTGTAGATCTTCTTTTGTTCGCAGGTCGGAAATAATCTAAGTAATAATAATAAAATCATGTGATATGATTATGAGAGAACAATTGCTCTAGAAGCGTCGTCCAGTTATAAATACCATGAAAATGTGTGTTATGTTCACCGAACTTATCTCATATCGAATTATATTCTACCATAGTATAAACCATTTCACTTCTACAGTCAACGTCATATTCAGTTAGTCTACTCTTTTGTCTGCTTTTCAATGTAAAGCAAGGTGGATGTCGATCTCGGCTTCACGTCATTTGTACAGTTAAGTGGAGATTATTGAATAGTTGCGGAAAAATATGTTGTCTCGTCTGTGTGTTGACGTCTACTTTTCATACATAATCATCACCAGGTTCATCAAATGGTGAATCGTAATAGGCTTGTCCAAGGCTTCATTGTACCTTGAAGTACACTGATCAAATTGATGAATATATACACTCACTTAAAAAATTTGTGTATGCATGACTTTCCATTTCTAGCCATTTAAGTTTAGCTAAAAAGCAAGAAGTGTTGAATGATATTAAAAACGTTAATCAAGAAACTTCAATGTCATATTTATCATTATACTGAATACAACATATTGACGATTCAAAAACGTGTCATAATAATTTGATTATTTCTCAACACGTTTTTCCTCACCACACAGTGAATATATCAGCTTTCAAAAGTTTGATCCACTACTCACGAAAAGAGTGAAGACTCGCTGGTGGTAAAACTGGCGTCCAAACATTTCTGAGAGGTTATTGCACTGGTGGTGAAAAAGATATCTAATACAAACTAGTTAATGTGTATGTTATTGATGAGTAAATAGGGTAATTAGCGACTAACTGTAACAAAATGACTAGTGAATTTTAATAGTAAAAGTTTATTAATTATGAACGTAGTGTGCAATATAAATTTACAGAATCCTTTTACCTTTGGATGTTTTCACTGCTTCCTTTGCTTCCATAAATTCCTTCTTTATCATTTCAATTTGAACTATAATTTCACAGTATCGAAAAGTGTGAAACGTCTCATTGTGTGTTCTTCAGCGTGAAATAATCATATTAACGCAATGGCTTCTGACTGTCGCAAAACAAGGCTATCCCGTTCGAAATGTGCAGCTTACCACATGACATTTCGAGTAGTTTACTGATATCAGTAACACAAACATATTCACTAGGTGTAAACTGCATTTAAACTGCATCTGTGCCCATCTTCAAGGTTCGCTTGACGTTTTCTTTGTCAATTATAGAACAATAATCGTTTCCGTAATACATTGAAATTTTTGAGAATAATTTGATAAATCATTGAATGAATAATCATGTCAATGGTTTTGCATTTTACAAGTTGTATTTATAAAGACATGCTACAATTTGAGGAGTTTTTGCATGTAAAAGACTGATGTGGCGTCTGATACTGATTAGATTTATCAGTAGAATTTAAAGAGACGCTCTTCGGCATAAAAACATCGAATAGCAGGGAGATGGATTTGATGTCAAAGAAAGCAAATGATTCAGCATTTTGACAAAACATGACAGACGTGATATGAATACGAAGAAATATAATATAAAGGAGAGAAATAGTACAACACGGAAGCTCTTTGCAAATGGTGGTTCGAAGATAAGGTGTACATAATTTGGCAATTTGGAGATACAAAATCCCGAATAAGCATTGCTTTACCAAGTCTCTTTGCTTCTGTCATTACACTGACAGTTCACCGCGTGAACTGTCCATTATTTCTGTGTAAACCATAGTATGTAAGGCATTTAGCACTGGAGAATAATAAAACCATGTAACACACTTTGTACTTGTTGGTGATAAAATGTGGAAAACAGTGTTTATTGTCATAATTTTCATCACGTATTACTCAACAAGATGATCCTTCTGTGAATGGAGTTCCAATTCAAATCCACCTGTGTCATTACTCAATATGCTGATACTCAGTGAATTTGGGCAGATATAGTGTTCAGATGCATAGAAATAGCTTTTCCACACATTCAAACAACTCGAGAATTGAGTTGAACAATCAAATAGCTGCTGCATCTGGTTGTCATAAAAGATATTCAGACATGGTTTATTACAAATAAATTTCACCGCATTTCAGTGGAATTTTGAATATGCATATTAATTAGATCATAGGAACTACTATTCACAAAATGACGACAGATATTTCAGCACAGTTAATAAGTTACGAAGATGAATTTCAAAGTGTAAGAAAACTAACCTTCGTCTTTCTTCAAATTGCTTGATGTCCCCACAAAAAATTTGCCTGCAATTGATACATAACAATGTCACTCAACTTCCAGGTATACCATGAATCCAACATTATCATAATCAATTTACTTAAAGATTGGCTCAGCTGACTTCAATTCAAATGACATCATTACAGCTAACCTGCTAACTAGGTATAAAGCTTTGTTAGAAGATGCTATTAGACCATCAAGTAAGTGTACTGTCACTCACATATCGATGGCAAGTAGTCTGTTTTTGACTAATTCTAATGACAAAATATGACTAAGTGAATACACGGATGGTGTTTGCCTACTGTCGCTTATTGCATGAACTACTCTCTGTTATTTGGATGGACATTTACGCACAAATATTCTCATCATTCTCTATCAATTCTGAAAATCAGTGCTGATGATGAAGTCAGGGAAATCCAGAAGCCTCAAAAAAAACACTATCATGAAAAGAAATCAGTGAGGGGAATCATTGAAATGTGCAGAACACGCCTACATCACCACCAGTTCATGCGAGATTTAATTTAAGACTGTCAATAATTGATGTATCAAGTTTTTTCCTCGCTAAGTCAGATAACACATTCGTGGGTGTGATTTTTAGAGGACATATCGCCATTCCGATGTGTTGTGATAAATCTTGTGTGAAAACGAGAAGTTTTTGTGGCTTTACGTGCTTCGCCTAATTACAGAAGAAGGATATTTAATTTCTTACAAAATGTAAAATAACCTACTGCCTTTATAAATAGTGGAATCATAAAAGTTTTACCTTCTGCAATATCGAGAGTTTTTCGATTTTCCCATTTCTTTGAAATATGCGTTTTCGTTAGATTGTATAATTCTTTACTAGCTGACGAAATAAATGGAAAATGACTAGGTATAATTATTACTCATAAGTTCTGTAAGATCTGGACTACATGATTTTTTGAGCTGTGGAATGTTCCTCCAAAATGGTGACAGTGATAATCTATCTAGATGCATTAGTATGACTCTGTTTTAGGCATCCAACAGATTTCAGCGTAATATCATGTATCAACCACTGATTTCACCTAAGGCATGTATAACAGTTGTAAATGTGACCAGATTTCGGTGGAAGAGTAGGAAGTAATATGAAAATTAAAATTATCATCAGTTTAAATGATGATGTCATCACTCAAAGGGCAAATGAGCTGAAGATCTTCTGAATATCACTGGAACAATGGATCTTAGTAACAAATCAATGTAAAGAAAAAATAAGAGAATGGTCTACTTTGGTAAGAAATGTCCTGACGTTGATCAGATTTATCCTCACGTAATTTCGCTCAAAAATGTTTTGTTAGAGAAGTGCGATTGACGTGGATGAAAAGGAAGTATGATTGAAGATTGAAATAATGACTTGACACAAAACACCAGCAAAAAATCTTGTGTACATTCTTCACAGACCTGGTCACCTAATTTCAGCAAACCGATGAATTTTAGATTAAGTAGTAATACAACTTTTATTTAAGAAATCAATCATACCAAGAACTTTGTAATTAAAAGAGGTATCTTCTTCCAGTGCCTTTCTGTATTCATCTATAGAGAAAGGAAGCATTGTTTGGTGCATATTTAATTACTCAAATAGCCAACAAACTGTAGCGTGTAATCGTACACTTAGACAGTAGGAAAGTGTGAACTAAGTTCATTTATGAACAGATGACATCACATACAGTATCAAATTTTCGCAACAATCAGACATTCATTTTTAAACATAATAGTTAGGCACATCTCTCTCAGCAGATATCATGGATGAATGTTGCTTGAGCGAATCTCGCTTTACAACTGCAAATTGCCATCAATCATAGGTTGGAATGGCAGTCAACTGCTTAAAGCATTCCCACAGAATATGAGAAGACTTTCGACAAAGTTAACTGTGAAGTAACTTGCTTGCCTTACCAACAGTGCTGAGTGCTGTATACTCTGATGCATCTCATTCAACAGACAAGGGATTAGGCCACTTTCGAGGCACTTTTCAGCGGAAAGTTCATGGGAATAAGATAAGGTAGTCCACTAGCGCCTATAGTATTGCTCTGAAGTGAACCATTCGAAACATGTTTTGTGGTGAGCAGTTCAATGTATCAACAAGGAAAACGGAGAAGGAATAACAGTAGTAATTTCATAATGTAACTGAATAACTAAGGATTTATTTAACCATCTAATATTTGATGAAAATAGAGTAGAAATAAGTTATCTAAGTTTCGAAGTAGTGTAAATGAACTTGAGGTATCTATGGAGTATAAATTATATTCGGAATGTTATCAATGATGCATGCTGTTTCATTGTATCATGTATGTATTGAACAGGCCAATGTTGAAGAGGAAGGACATTGTAGAGAAAATGAATGATGGAGGCAATTGTTTTACTACTGAATACCACGTCACTCGTGATTGAATTGATGAGAAATTTGGCAGTGCTTCATTAAATGGACTAGATTGCATTCGTATAGATGAGCGATAACGTCTTCACTTGTTAGTCTTGTCAAATAAATATCGATGCAAACACCTTTAGAGACATATGTCACACGAAATGATTTCAAGCTGACGTTCATTTCACAAACAGTAACATGGTGTTTTTGTCTTCAGATACCAAATGATTTGTTACATGCATTCTGTTTATTACTTTAAGAAGAAATAACCCACCAATAAAAAAATTCACCAGCTTCTTATCTTCTGCACCGATTGCTGTAAAAGTGTAGAAAACTTTTAGGAAATAATTTACTTGTACTCGGAGGCATGGTTAGAAAGAGACGGTAAGAAAACCTCAAATGTATGCTAAGGGTTTGTCGGACATGAAAAGTACAATAAAGCAAAGCGAAACACAGAAGCTGTTTGTTTTTATGCTAAGTACATGGCAACTTGTTCGAGGCGTTATATAACGTATCCGTCAGACTATACTTTCTCTGCTTTGAAAAGAATATTGAAAGGTGAATCAACAGCATTCATTCTGCCAATGAATCAATGTAGCCACCATTTATGTTATAATTCAGTATTTAATGCTATGCGTATAGAAAAGATGTGTACTGGAGTACTTAGCAAAATGTACATATGAAATTCATTCCTCTACTCGAAGTTTCTCCATAAAATGTTGCAGACTGTTTGTTGAAAGAATTTTCTGTGCTACTGACACCCGGAGACCAGTCTCCGAAATACTATTTTTGATAATTTATTTGTCTAGTAATTGAATTCTTTGGCCATTTCCAATGACACTGCAATTCATTTCAATTCGCAAACCAACATATTTAACTTCAGTGAAAACCCAAGCCTTTACTGAACACACGGATCATTTCAGAAACATCAAACAGTCGAATGCATGAATGACAGGACTTACATTCGAGAAATTCCTTCGCCCATTTACTTTGATATAAGTGTTCAAGTCTCAGGATTTCTGTTTAAAGTGGAAAAAAACACTAAATTAAGGCATGCCATAATGTTAGTTGATACAGGTTATTTGTTTAGTGAATATTGACTATAAGAAAACAGAAAGATTGAGCGAATAAATATTTACTTTTCAATTAGATCCTCACTAGGTGATGCGGGTCTGAATCTCAGAAAGGGACATTGGTTCCTTCAAGCTCGTTGTAGATACGCCTTGCTGACGAGTGCTAAATGAAACAAACCTAGGTCGAAGGCTTTTTGTCGATTGCCTTTAACCATCTAATATCATCAAATCAATATGCACCGTGATAGCAAGATACCTAGAATGGTGGTCACATCACAAACCTGACTGAAAGAATTCAGTCTGCACCAAAGAAAGGACTAGACACATTACACTTGTTATCAGTGTCCAGTCAAATTATCGAACGTTTCGAATACCATGATGTTACTGGAAGTCGGAAAGGTTTCAGAATCAGGTGAAATTCTGTTGAAAGCAACTCACCGGATATACTCACGCCACTGATGCATTACATTTCAGATGACGGAAAGTTAAGGGGTGGTTGGAAGGATAAGCTACCTTGTCAAACTATCAGAGAAAGGTTGCTTATGTCTCTGAAAGAATTGAACGGAGAATAATGCTTCCGTCCAATCCAAGCAAAAAACTGTCTCGTGTCATCCGAGAAAGAGACAAAATGACGCTATGGATGTGAAAATCCCTCAATAACATGCTGGATTCAAGAAGAGCAATACCTTATCATCGAAGAGAGCATAGGATTGCAATCAAATATCTATCTCAACTTCCCTGACTTTGAAAAATCCTTCGACAGCATTGAAAACTATGTAGTACGATGCTCCGAACGGCTACGTGAATTTGTCAAATGCTAAGAGATCCACAATGGAAATCTCAGTGAGGCTGGTCACAGATGGTACTCCTGTTTGTGGGCAACGGGGTCGTGTGAGAGACCGTGAGGAGCAGGAAGATGATCATACGTTGATGCAACAGGCAGACTTAGGAATGTTTGAACTTCGTCGATGACTTATGTCTAATATCACACGAACTTGAAGATCTGCAAGCGATGACGAACACTTTCGCAGAAGAATCATTCAGCGATGACACGTCTTCAAGTGAGCATAGAGAAAATGAAAGCGTTGAACACAATCAACCTACCAACCAACAAACAGCAATGGTAGAAATGTGAGAGAAATCATTTCTTGTACTTATCCAGGAAGCGCCATTTCAACTATACGTGGTTGCAGAAGTGACGACACTGCAGTTAGCTAAGGTCAGAGAAGCAAGACCGAATTTCATCGCTTTCAAGCCAGTAGGCGACTATAAGGGAGGCAAGGTATTGGTCTTCAACAGTGACGTCAAATCCATGCTTCTACATGATTCAGAGACTTATCCTGTCGATAAAAGCATTTACAAAAGACTTTTGTAAACACCTGACTTTGATGCCTCAGTACTGAAGACAAGGATTTTAGAAAGCATTAGCAGCAAGGAAGTCTGGTGACAAACCAGTTATGCACCTACTTCCCAACTGTTGACTGATATCACACTCCAGTCTGTTTAAAGAAACGTGAGTGTTACATGAGGAGGTGAGTGGTGGTGACATTGTGGAGCTTGTTTGGGAGGAAAATACAGGTTAATTGGCCAGTTCGGCAGCCAGCTACGATGGAATGCAAAGAAGAGGATAGTATGGAGATGGGCTGCTGAGCTCTTATTTTCCGCTTGGAATTCAGGAGAGTAATAAAAATATTCTGAGAAAGAACCCGAGAACGCCTAGAGGAGCAGTAGACAACAATAAGACTCAGACCCCATTTCCAGCCGAAACCGCTTCTACCAGTATCCCGTTTATACAAAGGATCTTCTTCTTCACCTAGAAGTGAGTTCATGGGTTTCAGTAACCTGCTTGAAATCACAAGGCAGATATGACAGTTCGTGGATCAGTTAAATTAGGAAGGTGATTGATTCAAAAGCTTTCCCGTAACATCCTATACAGACGTTATTTTAACCATTAGAATCAGTCAGCGTTGTTCTGTCACCATAGATGTTATCATGCAAAGACCAAGAGGTACATTTCATCTTCTTCACATGATAACAAACAAATGAGATACTCAGTCATCATCAAAAGGATCACAAGTGTGCATCTTTGATTCATTGGAATGCATGAAATGTGACATAAACTATTGATCCAAAAAGACCTGACCAAATATTCATGGCTGACATTTATTTGAAAAAGACGTAAAGGGCTGAGAAATTTGTTGTTTCAACGATTTCTTTCATAAACTGTAATTATCAAGGAAATCATAAGACTGACCCGAAACTGGTAAAATTTGTCCTCGAATTAAAGTAATACGTAATGCAAGGTGTAACCTAGAAAGGGACAAATTTTACCAGTATCCCATTGGTCTTATGATTTCATTGTTAAATTTAATTACCATAGTAAAGCTTATGAAAATGAATCGTTGAAAAGAAACTTTTCTTCGTTGTTTACGTCTTTTTCTTAGGATTCAAAATAAGAATAATTCGTTCATTGTTATTCATATGCAGCCATGTAGAGAATTTGATAAAATTACTCACCAGGTTTTATTATTCCTTCGACATTCTGAGGATCTTCGCCTGTCTGAATTTCAATCATGAGAACTAAAACAGACAAACGGGTGGAAATAAGTCCGAAGTATGTGGATTGTTTAATGCTTGAATAAAAGTTCTGACAAAATAAATGTTGACCTGTAGGCAACATGCAATCAGACTTTCTGCCTTTGTGTAACAAATTGTTCATGTAGTGTGGCTGTCCTCCGTGCATTACCAACACACCTCCAGACAAATGTAAATATTTATCGCACAATCCGCTGGTAACCAGTACCAAGTGATTAGGCCTTTTAGCCCAATAGAAATTACTCTGCAACTGCTATTCAACTCATCTCAGTCTGTAGTATGCACATGCATACAAAATTTTATCCTGGAGATTTTCAAGTTTCCTGAAATAGATGAAGCACTGTCGCTCACGTTGAAGCATCAGCTTCCTGTTCTACTTTAGAAGAATGATTTGCATGTTAATACATTTAGGTGACATTATATACATCTGTTGACATTAGAAATATATCTCCCCGAGTTTACAAGGAGATAAGCAGCTGTAGAAGATATTTTTAAAAGCTATTCAGTGTTGTCAGTAATTGAATTGGTTGATTAGCCGTCTACAAATCAAGACAAGCGATATAAGTAGTAAGAGAATGTGAACACTGATCGTTACAGAAGAGTCTAAAGTGAAGAGACAAACATATAATGATTTCCGGTGAAATAAACACATACATTTATAATCCACAGCTTCACGGTATGAATCTGCGTATGCGTCCAGTGTTGTATTCAGATCATCTGAAATAGAGTAAAATATTTCCCTCGAGCTATTTAACCCTTCATTTACTAAGTCATATGCACACACAAAAATAAAATTCTCTTGTACATAAAGAATCAGATAATTGGCCGATTCAACTGTTTCTGTAGTCCACAAAAAAACAATGAAAATCGCCCCAATCAGAAGTTACGCCTATCTCATGATGCATTCTACTACTTAGAAGTGAAATTGATCTTGCATATTCACTTTTCAATATATTAAATATTCCCATGGTAAAATAACGAACAAGAAATTTAAGGGAACAATATTGTTTCCCATTAGATCTCATCAGGCTTAACTCAAATATATATAAGTTTACAAATAAAAATTCACATATAAACCAATCATGGTGTTTTGTCTATAGGATAATACGATGGTGAATATAAATTGTGCAATTAGTCATAATAGTGGTAATGATAATAATAATAATAGTAATAATAAAAATGGTTTTATCAATAATAAGGATGAAAAAGTGAGGCAATCTGTGATAACACGAATAATGAAAAACAGCATGATTAAACAAACAGCTGTTCAGGTGGAAGTAGTCGATAAGGCTAGTAAAAGCAAATGAACCGATTAAGTAATGTTAGATTGTAAGGGAATTAAATGAGACACTTTTTAATGAAGATGTGATAAGATTAAGGGATGATAAGAAAGGGGTTGCAAATATAAACAAAGGGTGGTGTAGAAGTCATTAGTTGGTTATGTCTTAATAGGCCAAGTTAGGGATAATGGCTGTACGAACGTTTTTTGAATACATAGTTTAGGTTTAATAGTTCGAATACCTATCGCCTCAGCTGTGTGCAAAGAAAATCGATAGCTTAGCAATTACACCACTCAGTTCGGAAACCATAACTGTGATACTGTTACTTACGTAAGCCACCGATCTTGTCTATCACAGATCATTTGCTCAGTGTCATGCTGGCTCATGAGCTCATGTTGAGCTGTTGTGGAAGATAATATCGAATTAGATAAGTTTAGAACTGCAGTTGTCGTCCATCTTGCATATTTACGGACAAAACTGATCTGCCAATTATTGTACAATCTTAGAATAATGTCAACTATTCTGTTTTAAAAATGTATCTATCCTTGATTATCTATCGTGTATTATTGGAATTTCTGGCCATATTCCTTCATTTCACCTTGTTTTGAAGACCCCACTGCTAACACTACTTATATATATTCAAGTAGCACGCTGCACACTTTTGAAATTCTGTATTAGGATGATAATGCATGCTGAGATCATTATGAATAGATGCTGTTCACATAACAAAGAAATCAAATCATTCAATTTTTAGTTGTCTGTTGTTGATATTCAATGTGGATGTTATTCGAACTATAAAACATGAAGAGACTATACAGAAATTTACGAAAAGAGGATTTAGTGCTTCCAAAACATGATAAAGTCCTATTGGTTGTTGTCATACATAAAAATGACTATTTAAATAAAATAATGACATTATTCAGTGATCTGTAGATGCTGTGACATCCAGGTTATATGGTCTACGTAAGATCCATAAAAGAGACTTTCCACTTGGAGGAGTCTTGGATATATCTACATCACCTTACCATTCAACTGCGAAATGTGTGGTACAACTTTTGCAACTGTCGCACAGTAAATTATTAAAACCCGAAGGTGAAAGATTAGTTCATGATTTTTCTGAGTGCATCTTCTTTATTGAATAATATCTCATCTGATAGACACCCTGTAGTACATATATTTATAAATATTAAATAAGTTCAAGATTGTCAAGTTGGTCACTTGGTAAGCATAACGAAACTGTGTGCAGGTGTTTGGATATGAGAAGTAAAAGACGCTATAAGAACAGCATGTCTTTACATAGCAATATTGC